CTCAAGTAGTACCCCTTAATTCAGCTACTTGGGTTAGGCTCATGGTCTTCGTGTGAGCCAGCTCACTGACTGTGAGAAAGCACCTTGATCCTATCTTGACTCAGAATTTCCTCTTGTAATTTTGAGGGAAATTCAAAACCAAAAAGATTTTTCATTCATTACATTGAAGTAGTTAATTTTTAGTTACAGTTTCAGTTAGAATAGATCATGCAACATGTGCTACCATCAGAAACATTAGCTGCCATTAGCCGATACATCCCTAAAACTCAACAGATCAGCATGTTATATGTATTTTTATTTCTTGTTCATTTTGCTACTCAATGCAAGTAAGTGAGGTGCTTATCTTCTTGCCCTGTATTCATGGGCGTAGATACCTGTCATTTTGCCCTACGTTTGTAGCGTCCTCGCCATTCAGTAGGTAGGAGAGAGTAAGGATCTTCTCATGGACTGTTTATGGTCTGAATTATTATAGATTTCCCCAGACCTAGAATCAACTGCCTGGTATGTGTCATGAGGGTGATTCTTTAACTGTTTTTTGTTTTTATTTTTGTTGTTGTTGTTTAAAACAGGGTCTCCCTAGTCCCAGCCCACCTGGAACTTACTGTGTAGACTGGGCTGGCCTCGATTTCAAGAGATTCACCTGCCTCTACCTCCTGAAGACTGGGTTTAAAGGCACACACCCCAACACCTGGAGTTAACTGTTGTTTTTTTAATCCATTCAGACAATCATGTAAAACCCCATCTTGTTCCTATTTTTTGTTAATCTTCTATATCTCATCAAGTTGACAATTGAAATTAACCATCACACAAGGGGGTGGAGAAGGAGAGGGAGAGGGAGAGGGAGGGGGAGAGGGAGAGAGGGAGGGAGGGAGAGAGGGAGAGAGGGAGAGAGGGAGAGAGGGAGAACGGGAGGGAGGGAGAGAGGGAGGGAAGGAAGAAGGGAGGGAAGGAGGGAGGGAGACAGAGAAACATGGGAAGAAGTGCTCCAAATATATTTTTGTGTCTATACTTTTGTATACATTTATGATCACATTTTATAATTTACAACTGCAGTTTTAAAGATAATCAGCATTTTCCAAAGATAAAACTTGTAGATTATATAATTCCAGTTACATGAAGTGACCAGATGAGGCAATGTATATACAGAGAGAAACTGAATTAATGATTGCCTAGGGCTAGAGAGTGGGGAAATGGTAAATTAGGTGATTGCTACAAGGTTATTAGATGGTGAAAAAGTTGTAAAATTAGATTATGGAAATGGCTTTACAGGTTTTTATTTTTAAAAGTCATTGAATTATGTACTTTATATTCAATAGTCTTTTTCATAATAGAACTACTGTAGTTCAATTAACTTTTCTTTTTGATAAAAACTTCAAGATTACCTCTTAAAGTCAAGCAGTCACCTACTGAGTAAATCAATTAACATGTATCTACTGAGAGTCTACACTAGTTCAGACACCAGATTGGCACCTGAAAATGGCAGCACACAGACCATGACCTTCCTCTTCAAGTTCATAGTCTGGTGAAGGAATATGGAATGCAGTGTGCTGTACTTTCGGAGCTGTGCTTTAGATGAATGCAGGGCAATGTGGAGGAGAAGGAAAAAAAGCTAGTAATTCCCACAAAGAATTAATGTTTAGGTTTAGGATTGTCTTTTCCTGAGGAGACTTTTTCTTCCTTTCTTTCAAGAGGGCTTATACCTCCTGCATTTGGGCTTTACGTACTTCCCTTTCTCCAGTGAGTACATTAATGCATATTATTTCTTTAATTAATATGTTATCTAGGTTGTTAGATGTTAGGAGATGATCATCTATACAGATTATAATCCATCATGAAAATTCCATATTTAACATTGGCTGTGAGACATCTCAAAGGCCTCTTGGAGGTGATAGCCAACATTGATCTTAAGAATCAAAGGGAAAAGCAGAAGAAGCTGTACAAATGCGTGAGAACACAAAATGTACTTGGAGAACTCTGTCTCCATGTTTCTCTGTGTGTGTATGTGTGTGTGTGTGTGTCTGTCTGTCTGTCTGTCTGTTTCTCTGCTTGTGTGTATGATGGTTAATTTCATTTGTTAATTTGATGAAATCTATAATTCCCTAGAGATAATCCTCTGGGTGTGTCTGTGGGACATTATTTTGATTAGGTTAATTAAGATGGAAAGACCTGCCCACTGTGCATGACATTGTTTCCTGAGCCATATGAAAAGGAGGAAGCAAGCTGAGCACAAGCATCCGCTGCTCTCCTCTTCCACTTGAGGATACAATGTGATCAGATGGCTTAGCTTCTGCTTCCTTCACTTCCCCATCATGATGAGCTGTAATCTGGACCTGCGAATCAAAATGAACATTTTCTCCCTTAAGATGATTATGTCAGGGTATTTTATCACAGCAATAGGATACAGTGTATTTACAAGTGTGTGGTTGCAAATGTGTGTGCAGGTGCACATGTGTGTACACGAAGACGCCAGAGGTCATTCTCCAAGCCATTCGCCTTGTTTGTTGAAGCAGGGTCTCCCACTAGGACCTGGGGCTCTATGATTAGGTTTGACTGACCAGCTGGTCTGCAAGCCTGAGATCCTTCCCTCTCCACCTCCCAAGCACTGAGGTCACAAGCACATGCAACCACACCCAGATTTTTTAAAATTATTTTATTTATTATTTTTATTTAAGTGTATGAGTGTATTGCCTGCATATATGTGAGTGCACCCGTGCCGTGCAATACCGCGGAGGTCAAAAGAGGGCTTCAGATTCCCCTGGAACTGGAATTACTGACGGTTCGTAGCCACCATGTGGGTGCTGGGAATTGAACCCGGGTCCTCTGCAAGAGCAGTCAGTGCTCTTAACTGCTGAGCCATCTCTCCAGCCCCGCACGACCAGATTTTTACATGGGTTCTGGGAATCGAATTTAGGCCCTCATGTTTGTGCAGCAAGTACTTTCTTTACTGACTGAGCCACCTCTCCAGCACCCGCATTTTTAATATAAATATTAACTGCAGGAACAGATACACTCTCTCATCATTTTAGTGGCTTTACAGAGTAATAATATACAAAGTGCAGGGGTCAGGACCGATCACTGGGTTAATTCAGCGTCTTTGTGACTTCCAGCGTCAGCCAGAGAATGGATATGTAGCTAATGTTGGAGAAAAGAGACAGTATGAGAGACTTTCAGCCCTTTGCCTGCCTCCTCCAGGCCAGATCTCTGTTACAAGGCCCCGTTTAATGCAGCAAGAGCAGTCAGTGCTCTTAACTGCTGAGCCATCTCTCCAGCCCCGCACGACCAGATTTTTACATGGGTTCTGGGAATCGAATTTAGGCCCTCATGTTTGTGCAGCAAGTACTTTCTTTACTGACTGAGCCACCTCTCCAGCACCCGCATTTTTAATATAAATATTAACTGCAGGAACAGATACACTCTCTCATCATTTTAGTGGCTTTACAGAGTAATAATATACAAAGTGCAGGGGTCAGGACCGATCACTGGGTTAATTCAGCGTCTTTGTGACTTCCAGCGTCAGCCAGAGAATGGATATGTAGCTAATGTTGGAGAAAAGAGACAGTATGAGAGACTTTCAGCCCTTTGCCTGCCTCCTCCAGGCCAGATCTCTGTTACAAGGCCCCGTTTAATGCAGTGAGAACAGGGAAATGCAATTCTTGGATAGGCCACACTTCCTATATCACCACATTGCTATCCATGGAAGGAAATGGTATTTTATGGACAACTTGGCATTATCACCTAGAAGTTGTCTCTTTTATGTCGCAAAGTGCAGAATTACACGGATCACCAATCCATTACTCTCACTTTCATCATTTGCTTACTAGTCAAGTAAATCTGCTGAGAATGGGCACAAAGAATGTTAGAATTGTCTCTTGACTAGAAAAGACAAATATCCATTGTTCAGGCTACCAGATGAGACCTGTTCAGGAGTAGTCTCTCGAGCAAAATTTCACTACAGTCTGTTACATCCAATAAAATGAGCATTCAATCATACAGAGGTCCATAATCTACTTTTCTATCTCTCTGAGTTCCCACAAGATCCAATGACTGAATCATAACAGTTTGATGGCACTTAGTATCTTTAGCGAGATCCTATTCACATGGGGTCTGGTTTGCATCCCAAACTTTTGTGAACAAAACTGACAATGTGGGCTGGAGAGATGGCTCAGCGCTTAAGCACACTGACTGTTCTTGCAGAAGACCCGGCTTCCAATCCCAGCACCCACATGGCAGCTAACAACTGCCCGTAACTCCAGTTCTAGGGGATCCAACAGCCTCTTCTGTCCTCCACCAGCATTGCACGACATGGGTGCACTTACCTACATGCAGGCAATACACACATACACATAAAATAAAAATAATAAATAATAAATATTTTTTTAAAAACTGAAAATGTGAGGACCACGAGTATAGCTGTGTAACTATGAAAATGAAGGGAAGAACTCTTTACTGAGTCATAAGTGCATTCTTGCTTCTAGCCCTCCACATTTCCTGTAGATGTAGACTCAGACACTTCCGATTTATTATCTTATTTCTCTCCGTGAAATGTTTTCGGCCCTCAAACACCCTTTCTTACTGGTAAAAATCAGGAGTCAGTAGAATTCTTAGTTGCCATTTTGAACTGTGGTATCAAAGTAACTTTGATGATATCCATGAAAAAGTCAGTGCTTTTGTTTTGAATTTTTCATTTAGTTGTGAATATGGTTAGGATAACGAGAAGAGAACTTTTTTGTGAGAAGTGGAAAAAGACTCAGATTTTAAAATAAGACTGTACTGCGATTAAAAGCTCCTGCCATCATGCCTGGCTTCCTTGTTTTTTGGTGTGTTTTGCTTCATTTTGTTTGCAGTGCAGGGAATTGAACCTAGGGTCTCATACACACTGAGCATGCAGCCTACAACTGAGCTACACCCTAGCCAAGCACATGTCAAAATTATGAGTTCGCTTTTTTTTTTTTTTTTTTTTTTTTTTTTTTTGAGATATGTTTATCCAGGCTGACAGACATGCATGTAGGCAGCCAAAGTGAAGCAACGGAAGTATGCATCCCTTGTTCCCCAAAGACCTTACACATGCCAGGCTTTCTTCCAAGTTGCTACACTCCTGAGAAGGGCTTTGGTTGGCCCTTTGGAGAGGGACTCACCTTGGACACAAGTTCCCTTTTATACTTAAAAACTTTCTCAGACTTCATCTTAGAACTACTTTGCAGCTGATTACCATAAAAGGAAGGTCTTCATGATAGATAGGGAAGAAGGGAATGGAAATAAAGACATCAGTCAGAATAAATTCAAAAGATGTAAGAATGGTTATCTGATAAAATATTTGTGAACTATGAAGAAATTGCATGACTTATTTGGGGAGTAAAATATTACAAAACTATTAAAAATTTCTCATTATGGGGCTGGAGAGATGGTTCAGCAGTTAAGAGCACTGACTGCTCTTGCAGAAGACCTGGGTTCGATTCCCAGCACCCACATGGTGGCTACGAACTGTCCTTAACTCCAGTTTCAGGGGAATCCGAAACCCTCTTCTGACTTCTGCAGCATTGCACAACATGGGTGCACTCACATACACGCAGGCAGACTTCTGCAGCATTGCACGACACGGGTACACTCACATACATGCAGGCAATATACTCATACACATACAATAAAAATAATAAAATGTAAAAATAGTTCACTTTATTTGTTAGGACTCTGATTACTGATAGATAATGGTTTTATTACCAAGGAGATGATTTATTTATCTTGTGCATGTAGAATACCAAGTACTGTTTGTATTTTATAAATGAATAATTCAAAATAATAATCATAACAATTTTCTTAGAAGTATGTATTTCCCTCATTTTAAAGACAGAACCTACATTTCCCAGGGCACCTGTAACAGAATACCATGGAGTGATTGGTGTAATGATCCTAAATTAATTTTCTCACAGCTCTGGAGGCATCAATCATCAGACACATGAGAAAACCTCTGAGGCGACTACACTTTTACAGTATTTTTTATGGCAGTGATGACTAGAACAAATTGTAGTATCTGGAAAACTGATGCTGCCATTATATCTCAATGTGTAGCACTAACTTTTGAACCACGTAGCTGACAGAGCTGCCGAGGGTGTTAGAAAAAGTGTTGGTGACATTCTGGAGGGCTCAAGGAGAATGTTGGGTGGAAACCTAAAAAGACAAGTGTCAGCAGAAGCCTGAAGCCCCTGGATTAAGCTGTCACTGACATCTGGAGGAAAGTAAAGAAAATATGACTGAAGGCTTCAGAAAATGCCTGTTACTATAGTGTCAGAAATTCTGGCAGTTGTCACTCGTGGTGGAAGACAGTTAGAGTACTGGATGGTGATCTAAGACTCTCACCCAGAATGCTGTAAGTCTCACATAAGAGAGAGGATACACTAATAATTCATCTGTAAACCTAAAAATGTACAGCCAATTTTGAAAGAGATGTACCCTAGCTCAGAAAAATGTTATTGAATAGGTTAATGCTGTTGTAATGAAATGCTTCTTCTAATTAAAAAAAAAAAGAGAGAGAGAGAGAGAAGAATAGGGACACTTCAGTAACTAGATAGCCCAGTAAATTCTATTTATAGGAAGTGGAGACAAACATAAACATAGCCTTGTAATTAGTAGGGAAGTAGCTGTAACTCATTTTAGCCAGGAGGGAGGCATGTTTATAGATAGCAGAATGATCTTGTTCTTATGACAGTTGCCTCTAGCCTGGTAGGGTTGCTTAGCTGAGATCTGCCCTTAGATTCTGAAGCATAGCACAGCTCTCCCCTGTTAACTTGTTTGCGTCTTTCACCACCCCTTTCTTTAAAAAAGAGATTGCTCTGTTTCTGATATACAGAATGTTGACTTTGAGTATTTTTAATACTTCATGCTTAATTTCCACCAAATGTTTGGTGTTAAAAAGGCAGGTATCGCAGTGAACTAATGCTGCCATCTTGATCTGGGAACAGCAAATGGTCTTTTTGTGCCTTTCTCTGGGCTTGGTTTCCTGACTCAAAATAACATTGCCAAGCCATTTTCCATCAACAGGGTCCTGGATTGTTACTGTTATTTATTTTCTAAACATTCTCAAGGTTATCCTGGGTTATGCACAGTTTTTCTGACCCATAAATACCAACATTAAAAAATGAAAAGTTGGGCTGGAGAGATGACTCACTGGTTAACAGCATTGGCTGCTTTTGCAGAGGACCCGGGTTTAATTCCTAAAACTCACATGGTGGCTAACGGCTGTCCGTAATTCCAGTTCCAAGGGATCCAACACCCTCTTCTGACCTCTGCAGGCATTACACAACACGGGTGCCCTTACATACATACAGGCCATACATGCATACAAATAAAATAAAAATAATAAATTATTTTTAAAAATGAAAAAAAAAAAGGGTAAGCTTGGTGAGGTCGTGCATGCCCTTTGATCCCAGCATTTGGGAGGCAGAGGCAGGCAGATCTCTGAGATCTCTGTGAGTTCAAGGCCAGCCTAGTCTACATAGTGAGTTCCAGGCCAGCCTAAGGCCCAGAGTTTAATCTTTCAAAAAGTTTAAACACACACACACACACACACACACACACACACACACACACACAAATTTCAAAGGGTGAGAGATTATCTGTATATTTTTTTAAAACTGGCTTACTCTCTTAATCTTAAAAGGTGTCAAATGAATCTAATATTAAAAGATGGCTTCTGAGTAGAACTCATACCCAGAGCACTGTCAGGGAAGTGTAACCCAAGGTGTAATCCCAGGGCAAGACTTACAAATCTTTTTATTAAGTCCTAAAAAATATCAAAGACAGTGCTTCACAGAGAGATTCAAACTGGGAAGAGGCCCAGGACCTTAGGCCATGCCTGGGGCGTCTCCCCAGTGAGAGGGGGGATCTGCTGAAACTCTTAAGAGCACCACAGGTGCTCACAAGGAACTCTGAATAGAAAAAGACTTGTCTTAAGAGATCTGTGGATAGGGCATTTATTAATAATAAGTTCAGAATTAATGCACAAAAACCCCATAGCATTTCTGAGAGAATGATTCTGGTGGAAACATCCTTAGATTGAACTAAAAGGACGAGAGCAAGCACAGTATATAGCCTTTTTACACCTGCTAAAATTTTGGAGCAGAAATAAAACATAAGACATTTAAAAAGAAAGATCATTCAAAAGTGAAGAGCCAGCAGCCTAGAGACTAGAATGCATTTTGAAGATGGTATATTAGTTGTCTAGTGTTTGCATAACATAATTCCACAAATGAATGGCTTGAAAAACGTCCTTGTCTCACAGCTCTGGGGGCTCCAGTTCTATTGCTCTGGGAGCCAAGAAGGGATAGTGAGCAACTCCAGAACAGGACTGACCATCCTCTACCACCTTGTACGCAACAGAGGCTCAGCATTTCTATAGTTTACTAAGTGCTGCTGTGTGCTTCCTACCTTCCCTCCTTTGAAATGCTAGTGTCTATGGCATTATCCTGTGCCTACCCCGCCATTTTCTTTTGGGCATATTGAAGGCAAATGATTCTGAAGCTCACAGCCATGCAGATTGAGAGGAAAGGCACTGGAGGAGCTGTGCCCCAGAAACTGCACCTGAGGAGGACAGTCTACACCTGGATCCAATTTATGTAGACAACCTGTATTCCAAGTTCATGTTGTAATATGTCTAAGATGGGTTCTTCTGAAAGGAGTTACATAGAATAAATTATTGGAACAGCATCATAATATTTTTTCTTATCACCTTAAGATAGAAACCCTATGAATAGTTGAAACACTGTACCAGGCCATTCTCCATATGTGAGGTGATACAAAGCTACTGTCAGGGCCAGTGATAGCACTGCAGGGTAACAGGCAGAATGGTGCTGAGCTGTGGAAGTGTGTGTGCAGCTGCAAAAAGTTATTAAAGCTTCACAGGAAAGCATTTTGAAGCATATCTTCAAATAGTTCTTTACATAAAGTCGCCTGAATGAAGGATGCTGAGAAGGAAGAGATTTAAATGTTTTCTACTTACAAACCATTATAATTTAGACTCCAAAAATATATATTGTGTTCAGATTTTCTGCCTTAAGCAAAAGAAATTACTTCATTCTTCAAGTTTTGGTGGCAATGTACTAGTCAAGGCTAATTATTATTCTTACTGCTGTGGTTCATTGGCCTTATGGATGGATCAAGGAAAACTAATTCAACTGTGGAATTATAGGATCTTATAGAAGTCTTTGCTCAACCACTATAAGGCCTTATCCTACGTGTGGATTTCAGAGAGCACTGGGAACAGGGGCAGTAGGAAAGATCTGCTCTGGCGCTATACCTACACAACACTGGGTACTGAAATATGTGTCTCCTAGACCAGAGCTTTATGAATTCAGTTTTCTTGTCTTCCATATTTTGATATACCAGCATCTGAGACTTGATCTGGGAAAAGCAGCCCTATCCCTAGAGTTATTTTTTAAAATAACCTTTCAGCATACAAACCAATCAATCCAGAGGTTCACATTCCTGACTGTATCACTTATCAGTCACCCACACCACCTCAATAGCACCCCTACCCTAAGTTACCTCAGGTAGCAAACGAGTGGGGATTACTTATGTAACCTGTTAAAACTATTCATACTATCTAGTCCAGGGTTACTCAGTGTACATACCCTACCTTGGACATTCTTTCTCGAAAAGACCCCAAGTAATGGCCCTGGAGCATACTCTGCCCTCTCCTCTTGCCACCTCCTTAACATCCCTGGACCTTCCACACACAGCTGTTTCTCTTGCTCTGTAAGCACATTTTTTTTTCATGACAATGATAAGTATATACGATTAAAACAAATTCAGGGTGTATTTTAAACATGCAACTCTATGCTAACCCAAACCACTGAGTGCCTTGTGTGTGTGTGTGTGTGTGTGTGTGTGTGTATGTGTGTAATAAGACACAGTTAATATGAAATTACTACACAGCTCAGCCATATATATATATATATATATATGTCTGTTGTATTATTTATCATGTGCAACCATCACTGACATCCATCTTCACAGCTGACTTCATAATGCCAAAGTTAAACTCTATAGCCATTAAATAACAACTGCCCATTTCCTCTTCCTTTCTGCCCCTGGTAACTGCCATTCTATTTTCTGTCTCCATGATTTTGACTACTGTAAGCACAGAGCCA